AAGATGTTAACGAGAAGAAGAAGAAGATAACTACCAAGAGTAAAACGTGGAACGTGAAAAGATAATTATGGTTAATTAAAATAAAATAAAAATTATAAAAATTACTTAATTACATTATTGTCCTTATTAAATTATTTATATATAATAAAAATTAATTTATTAATTAAAAAAGTTTGAGGTTATTGGATTGTTCTCGCATTCTCGTAAATCACAGGGGTTCTCGTTTGAACCTCCACATGTATATATATATAACAAAAATAGTTTCTCTTTCTTCCTCCATTTATTTCCTTGGTTGGTTTAATCTTTAAATTTGGAGAAAACTCCATCATCTCTTTTATTTTATCCATTTTTAATAAGCTGGTGTAGCTCAAAAAACCAAAAACCTCTGTAATTTTTGCTTTTTTCTATATATTTTGGATAAGTTATTGAAGAGCTTTAAAGCTGAATTTTGATATTTTTAAAATATATAATATCTAATATTATATTATAAAGTAATTGACAAAAACTCTTAAAAATCATTATTTATACATGAAGTATTGTTTATTGATGCATATTACTTAAAATTCAAGATTACAAATAAATTGTGCGTAAGTACAACTTGTTAAAGCTTCATGTTTGAATTCATGTAACTAATTGCAGATAAACATAATCAAATAGAGGATAAACATCTCATTTTAAATATAAAAATCTAAAATGTAATAAAATAATCATTGAATTATAATAAAATACTTAATTTTTTTTAAATGATATTATTAAAGAAAAAATATAGAAAATGAATTAAAGAAATACACAAAAAAACGAATTTTAAATAGTTAGTTTGGTATTGATATCAATATTTTTTTTTTCCAATTTTTTATGATATATCTTCATATTTATATTTTATTTATAAATAAAAATATTATTGTTTTCTCAAAATCACATAAAAATGTATTATAACATCAACTGAGACAAAAAAATGAAACATTAAAATCGAAATGTATCTCGTTGCATTATGTAAATATCCTTCTAGTTTATATATGATAGAACTCACACATATCTCTCAACTTTAATAAGACAAACTCTTACCTCAAAAAAAGATCCGAATTAACATGTAACCTGAATACCATTAGAGCAAAAAAGCTTTTGCACCATAAGCAAAGAAAAATACCTGAAGGAAAAGGGTATTTATGTGTATCTTAACCACTAAAAATTGATTTTGTTTTCTAAAAGTCATCCGTTCAGGTATTTAGAAATTCACCTGACTGTTAATTTTTAAGGTCGTGTTTTAAATTAACTAAAATGCATATAAATTGGTTTGAATAGATGTTCAATAGGAAATGAAAAAGAAAAGATCTTATCTAAAACAGATAAGAAAGAATTTGATGAAGAATGAAACAAAATAATAAATATAGGTGGTGTTTCGGATTGCTTATAAAAACAACTTATTCACTTATTAGTAGTAAGCACTTTTGAGTGTTTAGATAAACAACTTATACCGGTGTCAAACCGGTAATAAGAAGTTTTTGAAGAAGTTAAACCATTCTGACTTATAATAAGTTGATAAGTGTTTTTGTAGAAAAACATAAGTTGTTTCAAATAAGCAATCCCAAACACCCCCATAATATCAAGGGCGGACTAACATATAAATGTTATCGTATTATTCTGTTGGGTGGTGTTATGTAGTTTTTGTAACGAAAGTGGTGGAGCAAGTTTTTAAAGACAAAGCTGGTAAATGGTTTGAATCCCACATTTGCCGAATATTTTAGTTTTCAACTTACATTTTTGTGTTTTTTATATATTTTAGAAAAAGTTTATCGCCTCGACTCAAACATAGGTCTCTTCTCTGCAAAAAAACAGCCAATAAAACTATACTTAGGGGTTGTTTGTTTATTTCTTAATAGTTCCATTAAGAGACAACCTCTGAATCATTAAGATGTGAATCTTGTTTGGCAAAAAAAAGTCTGTCTCTTAATGGTTCTAAAACTCTCTGAATGATTTTGTATCTTGGATCTCCTTTAACCATTAAGAGCCTTAATTTCATTGTACACAATTACCAAACAATTATATTTCATTTTGCACTACATCACAAGAGCCTCTTAATCATTCTGCACCAAACCATTCAGCAAGTGTCAAACAACCCCTTATACTATGAAATATTTCAACAAGTTCATTTTCATTGTCAAATTGTGTCATCACAAAGATTTTTCATTTTATCATGTTTGATTCACGAAACAAAATAGGACAAAAGAAAACAAATATTTGTCTTTTCACATCTCATACGAAATTAAGAAACCGTTTATCAAACACTTATTTGGTAAGTGTTTATCAAGTTACATTACCTTACTGATGAATATGGGAAAAACCAATAATCTTACCCGGTAAGAACGAAGACAAGGAGCTAAAATCTTACCCGGTAAGTAAAACGACGACTCTTACCACAGTTAGCGCGTACCAAGTACATTATTATATACGATACCGTTTTGGTAAACTAAAATCTTACCCTGTAAGTAAACGATAATATTGAATTTTACCGATAAATTCTTACCTAGATAAGTGTTTAGTAAACGGCGCAAGAACAAAACATGATTGAATAACAAAAATACAAATGAAAAAAAGATTATGACATTATTAAACCAAACATATCAATTTCTAACCCGACCCGCCCTATCCATTTCTAACCCGACCCGTCTAGCTCGAATCCGGAATTCACCAACGGCAGCGAAAAACTTCACCTTCTGCATCACCTCCAAACCCTCCAAAATCTCCGCCACCGTCCTCCCCCGTAAACCGTCCGCCTCCGCCATCACCATCCGCATCGCCTCCTTCACTTCCTCCATTGCGTCATCCAACTCCGACACCTGTCCATCCACCAACGTCCCCGTCCGATTCACCAACCCATACAACGGCGCCGCCGCCGCACTCTCCTGTACCATTGCCATCGTCTCTCCGATCTCCCGCTCCTTCCTCACCGTCTCCACCCTCACCGCTTCAATCCTCTCCGCCTGATCCGTCGTTAGATCCAGATCATTAAGGAATCGGAAGAGCAACGACGGCGGGTACTCGGTGACCCAGAATAATGCTTGCTCGAAGGAGGTGTGCCATGGCGGAGAGCAGATTAGGAAAACGTCTTGTTCGGTTGCGACTGATTTTTCTTGGTAGTATTGGCGGTAATGATCAGAGACCTGTTGGACCAGTTTTTGAGGTTGGTTGTGTTCGCCATTGCCGGCGGCAAAAAGTTGTTGTTGGAGGTGGTGGTGCCGGAGAAGCCAGCCGTCGTAAAAGGCGGTGAATGCTTGAAGAGTATTGGTGGGCATGGTCGGCTGTAGATTGTCGATTGCTATTCAACTATTATTTATTTATTTATTTATTTATTTTATATATGTTGATAAGGTTTGAGAAGGCAAATATATTTATTTATTTTAAAATTCATCTTAAGCAGCAAGAAAATGGCACATAGAAGACTGTGCGTAATAACAATATTATTTTAACTCAAATTTTAGACATTTGTTTGTATATTACTCTTTTCAATGTTTAGAATTCAGAAGGGCTGATTGAGTGAAATTTTGTACTTGTCAATTATTTGATCCACTTTGGATATAACTGATTAAAAAAGTATCCGTATAATATAACGAGATATATTTTAATTTTAATGTATTATTTTTTTTTGTCTTTATTGATGTTATAATACGATTTTATGTGTTATTAAAAAGACAATAATGTTTTTTTTAATAATATAAAATTTAAATATATTATAAAACTTTGAAAAGAAATATTATATCAAATTAACTATTTAAAAGTTTTTTTTGTGTAAATCTTTTGATTCAACTTAATTTAGGTTTGATAAAGAAGTAATTTATTTTTGGTTTAATAATATAATATTTTATAAAGATAATAATTGAGTATTCTGTTAGAATGATTATCCTAATTATATTTTAAATTTCTTTTATATTTAAAATGAGATGTTTGTCCTATTACGATTATGGGTATCTGTTTGTTAATTACACAAATTCAAACTTGGAGTTTTAATAAATTGTACTTATACACAAAAAGAAAGTAGCATGTGGTAAAGTAGCATTGACAGATGAACCAAGAGAATAGATGAAATGTTTGGTTCCCGTGTTATATGAGTACTAATCCCTGATTATTATGTCTGGAATCACAAAGAAGAACATTTTTTCATTGATGCATACGCTTCATCACAAGAATTAACCCTAGAAATTGAATCTTGAATAACAAACAAAAGATTAAAGAAAACAAGGAAACGAACCTTGAAAGATATTGACTCTGTTTGAAAAAATAATAAAAGATCGTAGAGAACACATATAATGTAAATAGTTGAAATCGAAAACAAAAACAAATTGGAAGCTTGGAATCTGTCTGTATCCTGAAGAACCTGCTTTGAATATATATGAGTAGAGGATATGATAGAAACGAAAAACGATATGTATATTCGTCTAAATCTGTTGAATCGTTGCCTGGTGAAGGTTATCTAAACCTGTTGAAATCGATAGAAGGATATGGATGAAGTAATTCGCCTGGTGGAGGTTATCTATATCTATTGAAATAGATAGACGAAAGGATATGGATGAAGCAATCGACTAATAAAAGGATATGGGTGAAGCTGACAAAATCTGAGGTTCTATTGGAAGTCGATAAATTGGGGATGATGACATATGTTTAATAGGTTGTACCAAAGCATTGAGAACTTGAAAATTAAGTAATTTAGCATTATATATTAGTACATAACTAGAAGCGTACTCGCGCAATGCAGCGAGATACATCGTGTTTTTAATATTTCATTTATTCTTTATCTCAGTCGATGTTATAATATGACTTTATGTGATTTTGAATTTTATTTTTCAATAAAATATATGTTTGATGATATCATAAAAAATTTGATAAAAATATATCGATATTAGTATCAAATTAACTATTTGAAATTCCTCATTTTTTTGTGTAATTTTTTAATCCAATTTTTTTATAATTTAATTTATGTACAATAACGAAGTAATTTATATTTGGTTTAATAATATAACTTTTTATAAAGATAATCATTATTTGTTTTGTTGGAACT